AAGGTATAGAAGAAACATAAAAACAGGAAAGAGGAGAGAGAGTGCAGGGTTGGTGACTAGAGGGCTGTTTTCAAAGAGTGGTCTGGGAAGACTTCTTGGAGGAGGTGAATCCAGTCAGGGGGAGGAGCCAGGTGGGGAAGGCTGGGAAGGGAAGTCCCAGATTGGGGTGACCTTGAGTGCTCAGGCAGGGAGGTCAGAGGGAGTGAGGCGGTAGGAGAGAGGCAGGGGATGAAGTAGGGAGCCAGGCAGGTCCGGAGGGAGCCCTGGGAAGGACTTTGGATTTTATTCTAAGTGTGAAGAGAAGCCGTTGGAGGGTTTTGAGAAGGGAAGTGACATGATTTGATTTAAAAAGAAAGTTCGGTCTACCAGAATATGGATTCAGCAGTCATTTATCAGGAGTGAGTATGACCCTGGTGTAAATTAATTCAGTCCAGCCTGATACTGCTGGATCTGGACTTGGTGCCTTTTTCAACATCTCAGCAGTTGAAATGCAGCCTCTATGTCCATCTATAACAGTCTTTTCCTATGTGTTTCTCTGACAAAATGAAGATGCATTGCTTTCTAAAGAGAAAATATTATCATCTTGTGAGCTGATGCTTGTGTCATCATGTATCTTTTTTTAGTGCAACTTTTGGAAAGCTGTGCTATTTGCTCCTCCCTCCCTTCCTTCTTGCCTTTATTTTAAACAAATGCTTAATGTTTCATAAGACACCTAGATTCCCCGCATGCCAGTGTTAATAAAAACCAGTGTTTGGATAGTATTTGCTGGGTTGTTGTTACTGTTTTCTTTATGCAAAAATACCTTGGGAATATTGAGTAATAGTCACAGATGCTGGGGCTGAAACTTTCAGTTCTGTTTTCTTCACCCTCACCTTGTTTGAGACAGATGTTTGCTTCTGATACGCTGATACCAGGTTGCGAAAGTGAAATTTAAATTGAGTTAAAGTGTCTCTTGAATTTGTCAGCCTCATACCATATGTATTTTGCTGCAGTCCTGTTTTCTTAGCTATTTAAAGCTCAGCTGTGACGCAAGCCCAGAATGGCCCGTGTTCCCTCTTGTGTGCAAGAGGCCAGCACACCCACTCTCAGTTACCTTGGGAAATGTTTGTAGGCAGTCTGTACTTGAGACCCAGACAGCTTAGTAACTGTCTATTTTTGTGCTCAGGAAATACGTACCAAAGCCACCAGAGGGCAGCTTGTCCAGTGAATCTAGGGGTAAAATACGCTGTTCTTTAGACACAGGTGTAGGATGAGGACTTCTGACTTTTTCACAATGTTTCTTGCATTAATTAGGAAGCTTTTTCACGTTCTCAGCCAGCTTCATCCATTCAGAGAGATGATGTTTTTGGAAATTTAAAGTTTTAAGGCAAATTCTTCCACGCAATTCTACTTCCCCCCCTTTTTTGGAGTATTAGTATCCATTTCCCCTTGCATTCCCCGTTCCCCCATCTTCCAGCCTTTCTATCTTCATTCAGTCTTTATTGAAATATAATTTATATATAGTAAAATTCATATTTTTAGCTATGTGGAACACATACAGCCATGGAACCACTGCCTCAATCAAGACAGAGAAATTTCCATCTCTCTAGAAAGTTCTCTTGTGCCCCTTGGCAGCCAGTCTCTCTCTGCAGGTCCCACATCTCCTTGGATCATTAATATTTGGAATTTTTTTTTACCTGAGACAAAGCATTTTATAAATTTAAAGTAGTGATCCTGCACAAATATTAGGGCCCTTTCTAAGAGGCTGTGGGAGAGCTCTGGAGAGATTAAGGAAATCGGAGGCAACTCTTTCCCAAGACAGTTGTATAAGTTTTTACTCTGTGGTTGTGGTGATTGTTTTAATCTGGCTCCTATTCATGTTAACTGCGCAGTCAGTAAACATCCATTTGTGTTTTAAATGCTTTAATAATTGTTAATTTAATAGTAAAGCTTAAGTACTCACTCGTATTCATGAGTTCAAGGCATCTTCTCTGTGAGGGTAGTGACTTTATTATCCATATTTAGATGAGGAGCCTGAGGTACAGTCATATGTGGCTTTGCAGAAAAAGGATGAGTAGAGTTAGTTTCCTGGTGTGAAATGTAAGATAAATGAAGTTAAAAGCTTCTTCAGAAATACATGTTCTCAGTGATCAAATACTCAGTGCCTCTCTTGATGCACATAATGTCCTTGGGCAGTGTCACCATGGCTACGGTTGAACGCCATGACAGTTTCAGTTCTGCATCCCTGACCTTGACCACCAGGTATCCCTGTGTCTCCTCCTGGTTCCTGCTTTCATCTTCTCCTGTTGGGTCACCCTGCCTTTAGCCCCTCTAGGTTGTGGTCAGAGCGATCTTTTAAATATGCAAGTCAGGTAATGTCACCTTCTTGATTAAAATTCTCCAGTGGTTCACAGTGCAATAAAATGTGAGCCCCTCACCTTGTTCAGCAGCACATCCTGCTGCTCCCTCCACTGTCCACCTGTGGTCCAACTGGTTGCCATTCTCCAGTGATTCTGTGCTGTCTCATGGCCCCCTACCCAGAAGCTGGCTGTTCCTTCTGTCTGGAAAATGCCCTTTCCTCATCTGTCATCCCTGTCTGCTGGGCAGACTGTTAGTCATCCTTCAGAACTTGGCTCACTTCTTATTTAATTAACCTTGATAGAATTGGAGCTATCTTTCCACTTTCCATTGCCTCTGTGTTGTTTAGCCAGTGCACCATTGTTTCATAATGGTCTCGTTCCACGTCTTTGCCCCAGTAATCTGCACTGTCTTGGAGGAGAGCTGCTTTGTGTTTTCAACTTGACATTGCTCACCTAGCTCAGTACCAAGACTCCCTACCAGACTGTTACGAACCATGAAGGCAGAGAAGACGCCTTATTTTATCCACCACTATGTCCAGTGTTTGGCTTAGGGCCTGGCCTGTAGTAGGTGTTCAATGAATATTTGTTGAAAGCATGAATAGTGGGTGTTTTTAAATGTCTAATTGCAATGATTTAGCTCAGGAGTTGCCACTGAAGGGCCACCAGCATAATCAAGCCATGGATATAATTTATGTGGCCTCATAGTATTTTTAAAGTTTTAAAATTTGATGGTCTCTCCCATTTTCCACAGTCAACACCACTCCTGTCATTTTCCTCTTCCTCATTTGGTACCTGCTTGGTCCTGGGATGTAAGGTTGGGGGTCCAGGCAGCGGGTAGTGTATTAGATTACAGGGGCTGAGTGGCTTAAACAAGAGAGAGCTTTTCCCTCACAGTTCTGGAGCCTGGAAGTCCAAGATCAAGGCGCTGGCAGGTTTGGTTTCTTCCTGAGGGCTCTCTCCTTGTCTTGCAAACATCCTCCTCACAGTGTCCTCTTAGGATCGTCCCTTACTTAGTCTGCATGTGAATGTGTTCAAATCTCCTCTTATAAGGACCCCAGTCGTACTGGATTAGGGCCCACCCATCTGACCTCAACGTAACCTTAATTACCTCTTCCAAAGCCCTGTCTCCAAATACAGTCACATTCTCCGGTACTGGGGCTCAGAGTTTCAACACAGGGATTTAGGAAGGACACTATTCATCTCATAACAGGCAGGAACATGAACCCTCAGGTACTGTGGCCTCTGCCTTGTGTCTCTGTGTGTTTAGAGCACGTTAATAAAGGGGAACTCAGCAGCCACCCAAGAGAGCAGTTTGCTCACCAAGGTGGGATCTGGATGGACAGGGCCCACACCTGCTCCAACACCCCACCTCCACTCTGATCACTGTGATCTGGATCATACTCATGATTCCTAAACAACCGACACACAGTTAAAAATGCCAGGTAGAACGTAGGTGCTTTGCAGTTTGGAAATACACACTCTTTCAAATTCTTTTCACTCCAGAAGCTGACCTGTGGGCTGCAAATGGTCTTTGCCAATGGTTTGGTGGAGAGTCGAGGTAAAAGCCATATAAAGACACGGCACCGCCTCTGTTGCTGTAAGCAAACAGCCAGGTCCTTTATTACCCTTGAAACCTGCACTCGTGATACAGGTTGGACTCAGAAGCAAGTCAAATGCCAACTTTCTGTGGGTCAAAGTTCCTTCAAGCACTGTATGTTAATCAAAAGCTCAACCTTAGTTAATTAGGCCATTGAGTTTGGAAGAACTTTGGAACAAATGATTACCTAATTCAACTGCAGGAGTTAACAGAACTGTGTTTTGTTTCCCAGAGGTAGGTTGTGGACTTGTGGTCTTTCTTGGAGGGGGCAGGACTGAGACTCTTGTGCAGTTTTATTCATTCTTGGCGGAGTAGTAGCATAATAAAATCTGCTGTATAGAGCTTAGCTAATCAGATGTATTTACTTAAAGATGAAGCTGAATGTTTGAGGAATATTATTCATATATGGGCAGAAAAGCCAGCTGCAAAGGGCTTCCAAAGATAAGGAAATATTTTAAATGCTAACAGCTCACAAGGCTTTAAACAATTTCGTGTATTTCATTATTTACTCTAGAAGACTGCAATTTAATGTCCCTCTCCAGAAAGAAATTTAAATGAATTTAAATTTGAAGGAAGACCAGAGAGATTAGTAAAATGTCCAAGGTCACCCAGCTAGCAAGCAATAGAACTGAGTTTTGAACACCTGGGCAAACCTGTGAACTGCCCCCACCCTCCACCCCCTCTCCCGTTACACCAGCTCTGTATGCGTTTCCTCCTCTCTCCTTGTCAGACAGAGGGTTTTTTCTTTGAATATCCTTTAGCAAATATCAACCTGAATAGATTTGCAGGACTGGCTAAAGGACCGGACCTATATTCTTCCATGTAAGTGGGTCAGTGCAGATCTCTTCTACTGCCCAGTTACGTAGCTTTCCTTGTAACACACACACACACACACACACACACACACACACACACACACACATATACACACATACACATGTAATAATCACGAAGTTTTTTCTTTTTTTGTCTTCCCCCCTCCCCTCCATTCCTGTTAGCAGTCATTAACTGCACACTCCTCGTTAGTCATCTCTGGGTCAACAGTGTTATCTTTTCCATTCCAGAGTTTGGGTAACAGAGGCACTAGAAGGACACCTTGTATCAGGTCACCTAGCAGAGACCAGCGTTCCTGGGCTCCCTGAAGAGGTTTGGTAAGTCACCTGGCTCCATCTTCCCTGTGGCTCAAATGAACATCATCCAGGGGTGGGGAAAAGTAGGTGAGCCTGACATGGTGACATCCAAATGTTAATCCTCTCTCTCTCTCTCTCTCTTTTTAAACCAACACGCATTGTTTTTGTTTCTGGGCTTTCATTTACTTCACTGACTAGGCCAGAGTGGCCTGTGTGTTTGTAAGTGCCGGTGTCCCCAGAGAACTCCCACAGTCAAAAGGAGTGACAGAAGCTATATTTGAATGACTTAGTGGGTCTTTTAATACTGAGTTTTTCCTATGTTGTTCACTGCATTTCGTCAACTCTAGAATGCAGCTCCCCCCATAATTTAGCACGTCTAAAGCTGGGGTGCATCTTACGGAGACTTCGATTCAGTGAAATATAGTATTCCTCTGATAACCCCCAAATGACCAGTGTTAGGTGCTCGCTACCTCCTATTTTTCAGAGTGTAAAAGCCTTTAAAAACTAACTCTTTTTGGTTTCCTTCATATGATGGTTTTGTGATGAGTAACCCTGGGACCTCTTAAGCAGTGGTGCTGGGGTTCAGAGCAGCCCATGTGAAACCATGGAACAGCCTCTTAGGCAGCAAATCCTAGCACCAGACACTGTTATCCAAAGCCTGATTCCCTTCCAGTGCTCAGCATTGTAGGACTTACAAGTGAAATACTCTAAAATAGTAGTGAAATAATCTGTTTTAGAGTATTTCACTATTGTGTCCCCAGAATGATTTGTCAGCATCCATTTATGTGTGAAAGGGTCCAAATTCATATTTATGCCAATTACATGGATCAGTAGCATCTTTACAGAGTTAATGCCCCAGAATAGGCAGGATTCCCCAAGCCACATGGGCCTGATTTATACAGACTTCAAGGTTTGGAGCACCTCTGTGTTAGGGGACCCCATAGGTGATTGTACATTAATGCTTCAAATGGTAGGGGTACAGGTGAACCGGTTGACAGTAGGTGTAGGGAAATGTCAATGTGCCAGCCTCTGTGCTAGGTAGTGGGTAATGAAGAGTCTGAGACAGGAAGGATTGTATTTCTGCCCCCAGGAACCCAGTCTAGTAGTCAAGGCACATATTAAATAATAAACGAGCTGTGAGTGGGCTGAGGAAGAACTGTAGGGAGCTTAAAACCAGAGGACCTACTCTGAATACCAGCGGAAGGGGTGACCACCAGGGGAGGCTTCTTGGATGTAAGTGGTGTTTTAACTGAGTCCCATTGGAGAAAGAATGGTTTACTAGGCAAAGGGAGACTGGGGGCAGGTGTTAGTGACCGTATCAAATGAGGAGCAGCTGGAGAGTTTCAAAATGGATGAGTGAGCGTCAGGTTCAAGAAATAAGCATGAACCTAATGGGGAAAGAAGAAAGGGGAAAGTGGCTTCATATGAACAGAGGTCTGTCCTAAAATGCGGACTTAGTCGCATTCCTGGAAGAATCTTTAAAAGCTCTTAAGGATTTTTTCTTTTTGTGGTTTAGACATATATTCTTCTTTCTCTATCAGCAGTATTTCCTAGAGCTGGATCCCAAGTCCTGTTTTCCTTCCAATCCTCTGAATTCTCCCCCAGATCTATGCTTTTAATTTGCCTCACCTACCTCTCATAGGAAGGTGATCAGCTTCTAGTGAGAGATTGTTTTCTTCAACAAATGTGTCTACTTTTCTTTTCTTGATAGCATCAGGGAAGGGTGATCATTGGCATAGTACATGATATCTCCACCCAAAGCCTGGATTTTTAAAAAATAGATGGTTTAAATGGAACAGACAGAGGCTGGCTACTTCACCCTGCTTCACTTTGGACGTTTATGAGATTCTCAGGTTTCAAATCTTCATGCTCTATGTTGACATTTTCTAGCAAGAGTGCTGCTGAGCTTATGATAGAAAAGGCACATTTCTTGAGGCACTTTGACTAGTAACTTAATTGACAGATTCAGAAATTCACACACGTGCATGTACACACACACACACACACACACGGAACCGCAGTTCCACTGAATTGACCATCTCAAGCTTACTGGTTTCTTAGTTGTGAGTGAATTTAATATGGTTGTTTTTTAAGAGGTCTGTTGAGTGTAGGGGCTCACCAGAGCAAGACAGAATTTTTTAACAAGACTGTATTTGTTTAAAAAAAATTTTTCTTTTTGAGATTTTTACCTCAGTCTGAGGTAAGATTGGTCTGTTTTCCCCATACAGAAGGAGTAAGAATCAGTGGCCATGATTGATATATAGAAATTTGAATTCTTAGTAACGTTTGTTGGCCTATTTGGCCAGTCCTCTTAGAAAAGTTAACATCTAGATCATTGCCTGATTTTTCTCAAGCCACAGGAAGTCTGTGTTCCTCCATCAAGGTCTGGGCATCGGACGGTGGAGATTTCTAGGAAGGGTGACAGGGAAAAAAAAATCACGGAATTTCTGATAGAAACTTTAAATAAAATGGTAAGACATTTTGAGTGCTGACTCCATCCTGGTCATCATAGCTTAGATTTTCATTCCAAGTAAGTTAATAAATTAAGAAGTGGGTGTTGTTTAACCTGCAAGTTGAAAATGCAAGTTACTTTTGAAAAAGAGGAAAACGTGGGTAACTAAAGATACTGTTTTCTATAGTAAAATGGCTCTTTGTGTTCCCAACTTGTAGGGTTCATTTAATGAGATCATAAATCTCTTAGAAACAATTTTTTTTCAAAATCCCTAAAAATTACCAGAAGGTATGCCTTTTGGAAAATGACTTTCCCATCATTTTGTTTCAAGAAGGCTGACTGTAAGTCGAGTAGGACTTGAGGTAAGCTCCTTACAGTCGTACCACTTGCGTGGTCCATATGAAGGAAATCAGCTGAAGAGCAGATGCTCATCAAGGTAGAGCAAGTGAGTTGAAACAAATTCTCTTTTGTTTACTCAACTACTGTTGGGGACCTACACAAAATGACCCCAGGCTGCTGATGGCAGTCTCCGAAGGCAGGTTCCAATTGTGTGACTTTTCTGCTTCTTCACCTGAATATTGACAGTTTTTCATCACATATTACTTCCTACCATATACGTTGTGCCATATAACTTATTACTACACAGAGTGGGAAGGAAAAGGCCTGTAATTTAATTTGGTTCAAATTAATAAACCTACAAAGGAACCCCACAATGAAAGATTAAGCATTTACTTAAGAGGAAATTAACAATAAAACTGGAATGAATTAAAACAAGCAGCATCGCAGCTCAAACATTAATGGTGTTTTGGAAAATGCAGTGGAAATTAATGGTTCTCTTTTCTCATCTTTATCCTCATTTACCAGAGAGTAAACTCATCATTTTCTGCTCTAGACCTCCTGTCTCCTTTTCTTTGATTGCTGATCCAGTTCAATAAAAGTTCTAACTCAGATGTGGCGCCCGCTGGTATTGAGAAATTATGCAAAAGGTTACTTTTGCATAGACCAAGTCCTTTGCCATTTATAATGATCAGCGTGTACTGTCCGTGGTGATATAAGCTGAAGAACTGGTGTCGGAGCCAATAGGCCCAACTCACACTTAGCCCGTTGTGGATACCATCAACCAGTGGTTTCATAACAAAGCATTCCTGTAATTAAGATGATTCTGAGGTCTGTTTCCTGGGCCCAAGTGAACTTAGGAAAATCCAGTTTTCTTAAAGAAAAACTGGTTTCCACAGGGAGTTTGTGGCTAATCCCAAACTGGATGATTCCCCCTTTTAAAATGATTTCATTCACAGGGGTAAAAGTCTCCAAGCGCTAGTTCCTTTGGCAACCTGCTCTGTAATGACTTGCTATGTGCAAAACAAGCTAACCCATTTCCAAAACTGAAAAGGTAGAGAGGTGGCTATGGGCCGTGATTCAACCAACAACATAATGGAAGACAAGCGGATGTTTGCCTACAAAGGGAAGACTGTCTTCCTAAAAGGAAGAGGTTTGGTCCCACCAAGGACAAGGAAAAAGAACGCTATGGGCATTAACAAAATGTGTGGCTCTTGGCAGAATAATGATCGAGGGTGGCATTGTGCTTTGTAGGAGCGTATTTGGTACCGTGGACAGCAAGGAGAACACTCCAAGGATATGAAGCTGACAATCTGTGGCTCATGTCAGCATCAGACCTTTAAGCAAGTTTCATGAGCAACACTCAAATGTCAGCCCTGAAGTTCCCATGAACAAGGTCTTCACACTAGTCATTAGATATGCATCAAAGTTATGCGCGTCTGAGGCTGCGCAGTGGTTCAGCAGATTGTCCTCAAGCATCCGCAGTCGCTGCAGCAAGGGCAGATGGGAAGGGGATGTCTGAAGTTCACTTCGGCCAGACTCGGGTATCTCTGCTGCGAAGAAATAAGAGTAACAGAAGAACCATGGTGCTTTCGTCAAGAATGCCCTAAGCTCTGTGCCTGCAAAATGTCAGGTCCTTTTAAAACTAAGACCAACGCCAGCAACCTACCAGGGGTGTCTTAAAGCAAAGAATGAAGTAGTTATTGAGGAATCAGGCTGGGGTGAAGGGGGCAGGATCCAGACTGGTCTTTAATCTAGGCATGTCAGTACCTGCTGACTTTTGGCTCCATCTGTGTAGTCAGTCACCAAGTGATTCTTAGAATCAAAGTATTGGAGTTAGAAGGAACCCTGAGGTGACGATGAAAACAAATGATAAATAATGATAATAAAAATAATGCTAACATTTATTGAGTGCTTACTATGTGCCAGGCATCAAAGAATTCCTTTACAGGCATTATCTCTTTGGTTTATATGGCCTCATTTAATTTCTACAATAATCCCATAAAGGTGTTAGGACTCCTATTTGGCAAATAAGGAAGCTGAGGTATGAAAGAATATGTAATTTGCACAAGGCCACACGGTTAAGAGTGCATGTCAAAGCTGGCACACACACCACGGTTGGCCTGAGGCCAGAGTCTGTACTTTTTAACTAGGAGCCCCTCAGAGAGCCGAGGTATCCTCAGAAGGAGGCTTGTTCATTGGCCAGAGTTTATGGACTGGCCAGAGTCCCCAG